ATTTGAAATATTTAATCTTAATTTTAAAATATGTGATACTTAACATCTTAATTATGAAATTTTCCTTTATTTTTGCCTTTTAAGCATTTTTAATAAATCAAACTAAGCGGGTCAATCCTCATGGGTCATCGAGTTGGACTAAAAAGCTCAATATGATCCGTTCACTATAGCGGACTAACTTATGAACCAATCGAATTATGTCAATCTAGTTTTAGACGAACTTTTCAATAAGATGAAATGCTAGAACCCAGACCAAGCTGCCATTTAGATATCCACTACCTTAGACCCTTACTATTTTTAATATTTCTTCAAATAAGGAAATGATTTTCATATTATCCACCACATTTTCTTTCATTCATACTTATATCTCCCGTTTTCATCGTCGCATTTTTATTTTCAACTTTTCATTACTTTGCATGTCCTATTCTCATGAATTTTTTCGTCCAAGAAATCAGTGAGGAAACTGATAGGAATGTAAAATGTATATTTTTCCCTTTTTATTTTATATACTTGTATGATTAATCAATACCAAAATGTACTCATTNGATTAATCAATACCAAAATGTACTCATTTTAATGCCAAAATGTACATATTTTAATTTAGGTGACAATTCAATGGAGATGACATAATTTGAAAGAAATATGTGAAAAATGACCAAAGTGAAAGGAAATGAAAGTTCAAGAACTAACGTGAAAATATACAAATGTTGTGTCGAACCAAATGATGAAAATTTGAGAATGTTAGAAGTCAATTGAATGAAAAAAGAAGTCAAATACGTGAAATATCGTCAAAATATGATCACACATCAATTTCCAATCGAAAAGTTATGCATCAGATTTCCAGTCTCAGTTTGAGACCCATTTTTGATATGGAAAATGATCTAAATTAGAAGATGGTATCTAAAGCAACGTTGTAGCCCTTTGAGTTATCTTTCCAACCTATTTTGAATCAACTCAATCGGATACTTGTGGAAAAAGTTATGACCAAAATACTGAACGCTGTTTAGAGACAAACTTGCGAGCGCACGTGCATGAATTTTACTTACCTAACCTAAAACCAATTAACGGCGCGCGCGCACAGACATTTTTCATATACGAATCTCCAATTTTCGAATTTAAATCAACTACCTATGGAAACAACTATAAATACATATTTTAAAACCCTAGAATGGGGGAAGAACGTACAGAACGCCTCCAAAATCCGTTCTTCATTATTTCTCTCTTAGATTTATGAATGATAACTAAACTTTTACACTTAATTGAAGAAAACGGAAGTAGGGCTGTCCGTGGGTCGGTTCGGTTCGGTTCTGAAGATACCCGAACCGACCCAAAACTTTCGGGTATTTAATAAATGGACCCGTCGGGTCCAAATATAATTATGGAACCGTTCGGGTTCGGTTCCGTTCGGTTCGGTTCGGGTCGGTTCGGTTCCGTTCGGTTCCGTACT